AAACATTCAATTATGTTCATAAATAATAAAATTTCCACAGGAATTCAATTATTTTTATACATAATAAAATTCTTCTGAGGAGTTTAATTATTTAAAAAAATTTTTAATTCAAGTTTAATTTAAAAATTTGTTAATTTAAATTTAATTTAAAAATTTTTAAATTTAATTTTCAATTATTTTCATAACTAATAAAACTCAGGAAATAATTTCAATTATATTTATTTGAAAAACAATTTTAAATGAATTCCTTGAAAAATAAAATTATTCTTAAATATTTTATTAAAATTCGTCAAAAGAATTCAATTGTTTAAAAAAAATTTCATATAATTTGTTTATTAGAATTTGACAATTATTTTCAATATTTACTATTTCATTAAAATATCCTAAAAGAATTCAATTATTTAAAAAAGTTGTTTAATTAAATACGTTAAAAGAATTCAATTATTTTGATAAGTAATAAAATTCGTCGAAAAAATTCAATTATTTTCAATAAAATTGAATTTTTAATTCAATTTTAATCGAATTCCTCGAAAAAGTTAATTATTCTTAAAAATTTTATTAAAATTCGTGAAAGGTATTAAAAATTTGTCGATATGATTCTTTGTGAAAATTCAATTTTAAGAAACAAAAAAAAACTAACTAAAAAAAATATTAATGAAACTAAAAACTAATTATTTATTATTGTATTTAAATAATTGAATTATCGTAGAATTTTCTAATAAAAATTGATTCCTATTTCATAAAAATGAATTTCAGTTAAAATTTTATATAATAATTGAATATAAAAAGCAACATAGCGTGAATTTTTAGAAATAATTGAATTTTGAAAAGGATTTAAAAATGATTTTTCCCAAAAAGGCTGAAAATAAGAATTATTTTTTACGTTAATTTTTTTTTTGACATTATTACCTTATTATTTACTTCTAATTTGAAACGAAACTAATTGAAAGTTTAATTATTGGAAAATTTTCCAACATTTTGCATTTTCAAAAATTTACAAGTAGAATTTGAAAATTATTAATATTTGAACAAACTGAAATTATAACTCTAGTCAACAATGAGATGCCCTAATTTTGTATTTTCAAGTCAAAACTTATTTGCGTGGTAACTAATTAACTGACATCCTTATATTCAGATCTTGATTTTCATAATTGGAAACAAGTTGTTCTAATTAATGTACAACTGGCATCAAGTTGAAATTTTATTTACTCCGATTCGTTTTGTTTTTTTTTCTCTCTTTTTTTCTTTTAGAAAAATTTCTCTAGATTGAAAAAAAATGCATGAGAATTCTTAGAAATTAATGCTTTTGTCAAAATAGAGAGAGAGAGAGAGAGGGGAGTGAACACTTTTCAGTTACCTTAGCTTTTTTAACAAGATCTGAAAATCTTTGCCGAGTTTCTAACGAAGTTTGAGTTAAACGCAAAGTCCTTTTTTTATTGCAGTCTGAGAATTTATTAGTCTACTTTTTCTACTGCAAAAAAAACGCCTTACTTTAAAGAATGAGTCAACAATTTTGTATTTGAGAAGTGAAAAAATTTTTTGATGACAAGTCTACTGAAACTTTTTCCTTATATTCACCTACTTTTGAAAGTTTTGGATTTTGTTTACACAGTCATTGGAAAGAATCCAGTTTTTCTTTTTTTTGCGAATAAAGGAGTTTATTTTTATACTACAATTATTTAATTAATTAATTAACAGAATTTTATTTTTACTGAAAAAATTTAAATTTAAATTTTAAATTTTAAATTTAAATTTAAAATTTAAAATTTAAAATTTTAATTTTAAATTTAATTAAATTTAATTAAATTTAATTAATTAATTAACAGAATTTTATTTTTACTAAAAAAATTGAAATTTTAAATTAAAATTTTGAATTTCAGTTTTAAATTAAAAAATTAAATTTTCGCGAAAGAAATTTTTTGTTTGAGAATTTTTTTTTCGCGAAAGATATTATGTGTAATTAGGAAAAGTGTCCAATTTCTCATATGGGGAAAAAATTTATTTTTACTCAAACATTCCGTGGACTTTTTTTTTTGTTTTTTGTTTTTGATAAAAAAAACTTTTACTTAGATTGAATGTCTGTATATCTATCTTTCATGCGCTAGAGTAAGCAGGATTGCGGAATCAAAAGGAGGCTAAAACTTAGTCAAAGGGACTTTCGTGAAATTCTGCCATCCCGGGCTTGACTGAAATTCATAATCCTTTCCTTTGACGTGGTTTTCACCTTCGCTTCCAAGTGCTTCTAAGTCCAAAATCTTTGCATTCTCCACGAGAAAAAAAGAAGATAACTCTTGTTTGTTTTATAAGTACACTTTTTTTCTTTTCTTTTTTTTTTTTAATTTTATATCGATTTTTCGCAAATTATTCCATGTAAATGATCTTGTGGAAAATTAAATTGAAATAATGGATGAAACAAATTAGAAATAATTATAAATTCAAAAAAAGGACTCAATTTTTCAAAGGATATGAAATTGAGACAAAAAAAGGTATCAAAACATTGCCTAGAAACTCTTTTGATACGTTTTTCTGTCTCGATTTGTTATTCTTCTCAAATTGAGACAAAAAAAGTATTAAAACGTTGCTTCGCAACTATTTTGATAAATTTTTTGTCTCAATTTGTTATTCTTCTCAAATTGAAGCAAAAAACGTATATTTAAATCAAAGAAATTATATTTCTGAGTTATATTCTTTAAAAGTTATGGCAAAAAAAAGTTGTGAAAAAATTAGGTTCTTTAAGAAAAAAATTAATTAAAATCTCTAATTTTTAAACGACAATTTTTAATCTTTAAACACAATTTTTGTTTGTAAACACAATTTTTTAATTTTGAATTTCTAAAACTAATTTTATATCATTTGAAGTAATTTTTTTTATTTATTATCACCTTTTCCTCTGACAAACTTTATGTAAAAGAAAACAATTTTTTTGCCAAAAGAAACCTTGGTTTTAATTGAAACCTAGTAAAAAATTAACTTAATCTAGTTTTAAATGAGATTTAAGCTAGTTTTAGGCTAGTTTTCAATAATTTTCATTTTAAGATGTAAACAAAATCTAAAATTTACTTTTTTGAAATTTTTGTAAAATGAAATTAAGTTATTAATTGAAACCAAGTTCTCAAATTTACTTAAATGAGTTTTAAGTTAGTTTCAGACTAGTTTTCAATCATTTCGTTTTGAGATGTAAACAGTTCCTAATTTTTTTCCTGTATAGTTTACCATTTCCTCTGACAAACTTTTTTACAAAACGAAATCTAATTTTTAATTGAAACCTAGTCGAGAATTAACTTAATATAGTTTTAAATGAGTTTAAAGCTAATTTTAAGATAGTTTTCAATTATTTCGGTTTTAAGATTCAACAAAAATCTAAAATTTACTTTTACAAAATTTTTATAAACCTAATTAAGGGTTTTAATTGAAACCAAGTTCTAAAATTTACTTAAATCATTTTTAAGCTAGTTTTAGACTAGTTGTTAATCATTTTGGATTTAAGATGTAAACAGTTCCGGATTTTTCTTCTCTGTAGTTTACTATTTCCTCAGACAAACTTTTTTTGTAAACAAAAGCAACTTTTTCGCAAAACGACATTTTGTTTTTAATTGAAACCTAGTCAAAAATTAACTCAATCTAGTTTTAAATTAGTTTCAAGCTAGTTCCTCTGACAAACTTTATGTAAAGAAAGACAATTTTTTTGCCAAAAGAAACCTTGGTTTTAATTGAAACCTAGTCAAAAATTAACTTAATCTAGATTTAATTGAGTTTTAGGCTAGTTTTAGGCTAGTTTTCAATCATTTTGGTTTTAAGATGTAAACAACAAAATCTAAAATTTACTTTTACGAAATTTTCGTAAAATAAAATTAAGTTATTAATTGAAACCAAGTTCTAAAATTTACTTAAATGAGTTTTAAGTTAGTTTTAGACTAGTTTTCAATCATTTCCTTTTTGAGATTTAAACAGTTATTCATTTTTTTCTGTATAGTTTACCATTTCCCCTGACAAACTTTTTTGCAAAACGAAATCTAATTTTTAATTGAAACCTGGTCGAGAATTAACTTAATCTAGTTTTAAATGAGTTTTAAGCTAATTTTAAGCTAGTTTTCAATCAGTTAGGTTTTAAGATTCAACAAAATGTAAAATTTACTTTCACAAAATTTTTGTCAAACTAAATTAAGCTTTGAATTTAGTTTTTAATTTAAGTTCTAAAATTTATTTAAATGAGTTTTAAGCTAGTTTTAAACTAGTTGTTAATCATTTTCGTTTTAAGATGTAAACAGTTCCGGATTTTTTTTCTATGTAGTTCACCATTTTCTCTGACGAACTTTTATGTAAAAGAAAGCATTTTTTTTCGCAAAATGAAACCTTGGTTTTAATTTAAACCTAGTCAAGAATTAACCTAATCTAGTTTTAAATTAGTTTTAAGCTAGTTTTACGCATGTAAATAGAATTTAGTTCAAACAAAACTACTGACCAAACAAAACCTTGGTTTTAATTCAAACCTAGTCAAAAATTAACTTATTCTAGTTTTAAATTAGTTTCAAGCTAGTTTTCCGCTTGTAAATAGAATTTAGTTGAAAGAAAACTACTGACCAAACGAAACCTTGGTTTTAATTCAAACCTAGTCAAAAATTAACTCAATCTAGTTTTAAATTAGTTTCAAGCTAGTTTTCTGCTTGTAAATAGAATTTAGTTCAAACAAAACTACTGACCAAACGAAACCTTGGTTTTAATTCAAACCTAGTCAGTAATTAATCTAGTTAAATTAATTAATCTAGTTAATCTAGTTTTAAATTAGTTTCAAGCTAGTTTTACGCTTGTAAATAGAATTCAGTTAAAACAAAACCACTAACCAAACTGTCATTGCAATAAAATTCATGATATTTAATAATTCACTAAGCGGAGGGAGATGAATTTATATTGTCCCAATGTGAATAGAATTGAGAAACTATGCAAAAGCAGTTTCCAGAAATATCTAATCCAAAATCAGAGTAAAGTAGTGTGTGACTCACCTTGCAAAGAAAGCTGCGGCTGCGCTGGCCTGTGCTGGTGTTCCCGGTGTCACACTAACATTATACGAGTACTTGGTCTCCTGGTACACTTGATACGGATTCTGTGGCTTCACGTGCGACGATCTATGATAATAATGATCACCATACTTGTCACTATAAACACTTTTTTCCGTCTGACCACCCTTCACATACGTCTGAAGTACTTTAGCCTGACACTTATTATCATTCGGCTGATAACCCTTCTCCGATGATGAATGTTGCTGATGACTTTTCTCATGCGCCGAACTTGGGGGTTTATCAATATTCCCATAGGACTTGAAATCATAACCCTTTAATTCACCGTAGTACTTTAAATTCTCAACTTTGTAACCACCGTAACCCAATGAATCGTGATTTATTTTCACCTTTGGGATTTCATGTTTATGAATCGGCTCCTGTACTGATTTCATTTTTTCTGATTTGCCGACGAGTGTTTCGTGGGAAACTTTCGCCTTTTCTAGTTTGATCATTGACTTGTCGGTGAGACGACCTTGAGGTGTTGAATCGGTGACCTTGATTAGGTCCAGTGTGCCCTTGAATTTTTCGGGAATTGAATCGATGGCAGTGGTACCACAACCACCAGCGGAAGTAGTGGTACGTGGGGTTTGATGTGATTTTAGATTATCGAGATTTCGCAGTGGTTCATGATGTTCATCCCTCGCTAGTGGGGGATCATCTTTGTTTACACTTGATGAGGACTTTTGGATCTGTCGCTGACGAGATGTGGCGGCACCTCCCCGTGTTGACTCGCGCGCGGTTGGCGTGATACTAGCCATATTGGTAGGCGCCTCAACTCCATGCACATTTCCCCCTCTAGTACCAACGACAACGGCACCCCCAACTGTTGTAGGACGTCTGGACCTTTCCTCCTGCAATTGATAACAGATCATTGATGGATCAATTAGTGTTACATTCGTGATTCATTTAGACTACTGTAAAATTTACTTTTACTATTCCAATTTTATAGTCTCTACTATTTTGATTTATTTGATTATTATTTATTGGGTTTAACTTTTAGTTTCTATTGCTAATTGTATGTATTTTTATTATCATTAAATAATTTTGGAAGCTAAAAAATTATATAAATAAAAGATGTTTAGATGCATTTGTTTGTCCATTAGACTTAAGATTTTTAACTTCACTTGTTTGACCATTAGGCCTAAAGTCTTTAAATTCATCTGTTTGGTCTAACGGCCATTAGGCCTAAGTTTTTTAAATTCACTTGTTTCAACATTTTGTCTAAGATGTTTAAATTCATTTCTTTGACCTAATGGCCATTAGGCTTAAGAATTTTAAATTCATCTGTTTAACTTAATGACCATTAGGACTAAGAATTAAAAATTCACTTGTTTGGATATTAGGCCTAAGGTATTTAAATTCATTTGTATGGCCAATAGGCTTAAGATTTTTAAATTCATTTGTTTGGCCTAATTGCCATTTGACCTAAGGTGTTTAAATTTATTTGTTTGAACTAATGATAATTAGGCCTAAGATTTTTAAATCCATTTGTTTGGCCTAATGGCCATTAGGTCTAAGATTTTCAAATTCACTTGTTAGGCCATTAGACCTAATGTGTTTAAATTCATTTGTTTGACCTAACGCCCATTAGTCCAAAGATTTTTAGAAGGTGTATAAATTAATTTATTTGAACTAATGGCCATTATTTTCCATATTTTTAATTACAAAATTCAAATATCTACAAAAAATAATAACATTCAAATTTTTGAAAAAATTTAATTTTCCAAATTGAGAAAATTTTGAAGGAATCAATCGTTTTTAAAATTCCTTATTAAAAATTGAAATAAAACTGGTAATTTTTTTGAGGTGTTTAAAAATTTCTTTAGGAAATTTAATAATTTTACTTAAATATTTCAAAATAAATTGAATTTTAAAAGAGTTGCGTTTACAATTTTCATAAATAGATGAACGTTAAAAGGTTTTAATTAAAATTTTTATAAAATTTCAATTTTTAATGAATTTAATTAGAAATTTTAAAAAACTTAGATTTTTGGAAAATTTTAATAATTCAAATTTTTCTGAAACAAGTTAAAATTACAAATGATTACAGAAATTCAATTATTTTTAAAAGTAAAAAAAAAATTCTTCGCATAAATTCAATTATAATCAAAAAAATTTTTTAAATTAATGTAAAAATTTCAATTATCTTTATAAATAAAAAAATTCTCCTTCGAAATTCAATTATTTAAAAAAAATTTTAATAAAATTCTTGTCAAAATTTCAATTATTGTCAAATATTTTTTTCAATTCAATGATTTTCAATATCTACTATTTTAATTTATAATTTAATTATATTAAAAAAAAAGATTTAATAAAATTATACCCAAACATTTAATTATTTTCGTAAATAATAAAAAATTCACAGAAATTCAATTATTTTAAAAATTTTAACAAAATTCTTCACAAGAATTCAATTATCTTTATAGGTGGATAATAAAATTCTTCTGAGGAATTCAATTATTTTTAAAATTTTTATAAAATTCGTTGCAAAAATTCTATTTATTTTCATAACTAATAAAACTCATATAGAGGGATTTCAATTATATTTATTTTTAAAACAATTTCAAATGAATTCCTCGAAAAACAAAATTATTCTTAAATATTTTAATAAAATTCGTCAAAAAAATTAAATTATTTTCAAAAATTTTAATAACATTTTATTCGAATTCATCAAAAAAATCAATTATTTAAAAAATTTTAATAAAATTCGTGGTATAATTTCAATGATTGTCAAAAATTTTCCTAAATTCAATGATTTTTAATATTTACTAATATAATTAATAATTCAATTATTAAAAAAAAAATTTAATAAAACTCTACGCAAACATTTAATTATTTCCATGAATAATAAAAATTTCACTAAAATTCAATTATTTAAAATTTTTTTAAAAAATTCTTTGAAAAAATTAAATTAATTTCAAAAATATTTTCTAAACTTTTTCTTTTCTTTTGATTTTATTTTGAAATATATATTTTCGGTTACATATTTTCAATAATTTACATTAATAACATTTTTTTAAAATAAAAAACCATGCTTACAATTATAAAAGTTTGAACTTTTGTTTTCAAATAATTGATTTCTATTTGAAGTTTCGTATAATTGTTTTTAAAAATTTATTTAGAGAAGAAGTTTAGTTATAAGATCTACAAAATAATTGCATTTTATTACTATTTTTTCGAAATAATTGAATTTCAGATTTGAAATCAAAATTTTAAAAAAATTCTTCGGGAAAAAATAAAGTTCTAAAAAATAATTGAATTTTGCTTCTATTTTTTAGAAACAATTAAATTTAAAATTTGGAATTGAAATTTAAAAAAATTCTTCTGGAAAAATAAATAATAAATATTTAAATATTCATGTTGCTTAACAGAATGTAGAAATCAGTGAAAGATGAGAGAAATACAAAATTAAATTTTTTAGTCGACATTTATTAGAAAAAAATTAATTTTTCGACTTTCTTCGTATCTTTAATCTACTAAAATGACTTGTTCTACTCCTGAAAGTCGATCAGAGGCCAGAAAATTGTTAAAGATAGGTACTTGTTTCTATTTTCTGTTTGAAAGTATTTAAATATAATTCATTCATTAATATTTCGTTAATTTAATCATTAGTTCTACAAAAATATTAAAAATTGCAGTAAGACCTCACTTAGCGTCGAGAGGGAGGGACTGTAAATCTCAGGTAGCGACGAATTTAAACCACGCCCCTCAGACTATAACTTATAAACCTACAGGTCCGTATGTATGCATTCGAGAACCCCGGAGTTTTTCTCGAATAAAATCAAATTCTTTTTATTAGTAATTATTGTATTATTATATTATTTTATTATATTAACTAACAATTAGTTTAGAATTTTAAAATGCGATTAATATTTACTCCTTTTTTTACTAATTTTCAGCTAAAACTTGTGAGACTTTAAAACTATTTAAATATAATAACAGTTTTTCTAAGGATATCAAATTGAGACAAAAAGCGAATCGAAATTGTTGCGAAGCAACGTTTTAATCTATTTTTTCTCAATTTCATATTCTTAGAAAAACTGTGAAATTTTTTTGAACATTTAGTAGAAAAAAAAATAAAATAGTAAAATAAATTTGACTAATTTAAATTTTAAATTCGTTAGCAACCTATGTCTCACTGTATAAAAAACTAAAATTCCCACCTGAGCTTGCTTTGCATCCTCCTGCCTCTTGATAATTTCAGAATATTTCGGCGGTTCCTGATGATACTTTGGCGGCGGTTCAATTTTCGGTGGATTCTCCTGATATTTCGGTGGACGATCAAAAGCACGATATTTCGGTGGTTCAACAAACGATCCATTTGGAATCCTCGACGAAAATGTCTGATTCTCACCAAGATCAGATTGCGAACGATTCATTTGATAGCCAATCGTTACTTTTTGCTCTGGATTTATTAATTTCCCATGACTGTGTTTCGACGATATGATTTTATCCCTTTTCTCCACTTTTTCCGGTTGGGAAAATTTCACCTCCTTCTTCTCGTGCAACGGTGGACCGTCAATTTCATAAAAGGTCAATTCTTTTTTACCCTGAAGAATTTTCTCCCCAGGACGATGATACTTGGTTGTTGGAGTGTTGTCATGCTTCAAGGGTGGATCGATTTGATAGAATGTCAATTCCCTTGAGTCTTGTGACTTGGATCTTGTCTCATTGGAATGATGATACTGCTTTTCTGGCTGTGAATGACTTCGTGGATGTCGTTGATTGAATTTTATTGCTGAATTTTGTTCTTGTGTGTGGCGCGATGTCCATTTTGTATTTAAACCCATTTTCACGGAATTTCTACCGTACTCAAGATACTCGTCGCCGTACTTTAAGATTTGTTGGGGTTTATACTTGTCCTCGAATTGAGAATAATTGTAGGTATTAAAGCCCACTTGATTGAAGTTTCGACTTAGATTCGATGGATCGTAATCGCTCGATGTTACCGCTTCCATATTTATCTGAAACAAAAGGAATTCGATTTTTAGTTCTTTTTTAATTGTTATCGAGATGAATAGAATATTTCTCCGAAGGAAAGCTCTTGAGAATTTTTTTTTTTTTGTAAAGAAAAGACATTTTTAACGTTGGTTTTCAAGATAGAAAATATAAATATTCACTCACGTAGTTATTACAATTTTTCGACACTTGTCCACCAAGGTTTCGAACATTCGAATGAACGACAATATTTTTCCTTTCTTAAAATTGCATTTTATTACGAAATATTGTTTTTTATGTTTAAAAATTAATTCTCAACTATTTTTAATTTACATTCTTATTTTTATACTTTTATTTCCGAAACTACTTTGTAAAACCTCGCGTAGCGCCGAGGGGGAGGGGCCGTAGGTCTCAGCTAGCGGCGAATTTTGACCACGCCCCTCAGCTTATGACTCATATTCCTTCAGGTCCGTATGTATACTTTGAAGAACCCTGGGTTTTTTTTTTTAATTTTTTTCTTTTTGCTATTTTATTTGAAGCTTTTTTTTACTTGAAGTTTTATTGATTCTCTTGAATCTTTCTTTTCCTAAATCTAAACAAGTTTCTCTAGTAAAAAAAAAGTGAGTGCTATTTTATCAAAATAAAGAAAATTAAAAGATTTTATCAAAATTAGAAAAAAATTGTTTCTTTGTGCAAAATTTATGAAATTTAGTCGATAAAATGATCGGATTTCCTCTTCGTTATGAAGTGACTAACATGACAGTTCGGGGCCATGTGCTTCTTTGCGAGAGAGAGAGGCCGCTAGTGGATTGCTTGTGTTGCCGCGTAGGTGTGACTGACTAACCACAGATGAAGCGATGTACCAGTGTACAAGAGACATGACGGGATGACGGAAAAGACAGAGAGTGAGCAATCTCTTACGGTTGAGTTTATCCCACTCGGTGAACTCTCTCGATCACTCTGAATAATCATCGTACAACAACGGCCCTCGCTTCATCGCCTTCTACTAAACAGAAACAGGCTGCCGGATGAGGTGGATAAAAGGAAGTGGGATAGAATACGTGAAGAAAATAAGAGAGAGAGAAACACGCTCAAACTTTTTCGAGGCAAAAATTCGCAAGATTATCCAAAATTATTCAAAATAGAAATTAAACAAATTTTTTTAACTTTTTTTCCAATTTTATTTCTTTCAAACTTTTAAGACTTAATATTCCATGTTCTAAACTGTAAACTAATATTTAGTACCTAGATTTTGGAGAATTTAATTTTATTTGAAAAAAACCCCCAGGGTTCTCCAAAGTATACATACGGACCTGAAGGAATATGAGTCATAAGCTGAGGGGCGTGGTCAAAACTCGACGCTAGCTGAGATCGGCGGTCCGTCCCTCTCGACGCTATGCGAGGTTTTACTATTAATTAACGCTTTTGTTGATTAAATTAATTATTAATTAATCATTGGTAATTAATATTAATTAATGACTATTTATTAAATTAGCAAAGCACTTATGATAAAATAATTTAAAAATAATTTGAATAAAAATATTTTAAAATAATTTGAATAAAAATATTTTAAAATACTTTCAATAAAAATATTTTTAAACACTTTAAAGAATAGAGGAAAAAATACAATTTTCAAATATTAATGTAAATAAGTAAAATAATGTAAATTAAAAATAGTTAAAAGTTAATTTTTTAAATATCAAAAAATATTTCGTAATAAAATTCAAATTGAAAAAAATATTGTCATTTAATTGAACGTTCGAAAATTAGTAATAGTTACGTGAGTGAATATTTATATTTTTTATCTTGAAACTAAAAAAATATTTCTTGTCTCAATTTGATATCTTTAGAAATTTGATACTTTTGAAGAAAACTTTAGAGAAAAAAAAAAAAACTTCAAAGAAAGCAAATAAATTAGTTAAAAAAAATTAAACTTTTTTTCATTTTTATAGTTGTTAGTTTTTTTTTTAATCTTATATTTACTGCTCTATTTTTCGACTCATTGATATTCAAAGGTTTCATTATTATGCAATATGACACATTTGTAAGCGTAATGTGTTTATTCAGCATCAAAGAGATGAGAGGAAAAACTAAAATGACAATGCATTGTCTTCACTAGAATGTAATATTACTCGAAACAAAGCTAAAAGCAAAATCATCAAAAAGTTTAATTCACTGCGCCTCAAACGACTTTAATGTAATTGGAAATGAATTGTCCTACGATGAACACGAATCAAATTCCAGAAATTTTTAATCCTCAATGATTCTAATTGCATTTGATAAAAAACCCCCTTCTCTCCCTCCCCGCGAAAACGAAATAACAACAAAATTATTTTCTCAATTTTATCATAATTGTTAATGCAAAAAAAAATAATTATGACTTGTTCTCTTCTTTAATTGCTGCCAATTTATTAAATGAATAATAATAGAAAATATATAAAAATGATAAAAATATTTTTTTTTCTTTTAGAAATTAAATTGTTTTTTTTAGAAATTAGATTTTTTCGGAAATCAAATTAATTGACTGCGATTAATAATAATTTATGCTAATGGAGTTTTCTGTAAATTCTTACCGACTAATTTAATTCTCCTCCACCTACTTTTCCTCTTACCTATGGATATATATTTCTAAAAAAGGATTTTTTTTCGCCTCTTATTCTCCGTCATAAATTCAATGGCGCCAAGTTTTCAAATTAGCCGCGAGCGATCACTTATTGAGAAAGCAAAAAAAAAAAAAAAAAGAAATAAAAAAGAAGAAGAAGAAGGTAAAAATTGCCAGTACGTAAGGTGAGGTTGAATATGAAATCTCATGAGGATCGGTAAAAATTTCCCTTTAATTATCTTCAATAATTCTGGGTTTCTTTCACATGAAAAAACGTTTTAGATTTTGATTTTGTAAATTATACGGGAAAAGAGAGAAAAAAAAGATTCTTTTCGGTCAAATTATTTTTAAAAAATGAAGTGAAATTTATATACACTTTATGAAAAGATATTATCCGCAAGAGTGTCAATATTAATACTTTGATTTTTTAATCTAAAGGCATTTGTTGTAAATTAATTAAAAAAACTACTGAAATGAAGAATTTTTTTCTTTATTAATAGAGTAAATCTTTTCTTTAGTGATTTTGTAAAATTTTATTTCGATTTTTGATTCGATTTCAACTTTTGACTTTCGCTTTAAAAGTTTGATTTTCGATTCGATTTTAACTTTGTGGTTGACTCTGACTTTCATTTTTACTCTGATTTTGAATTTGACTTTGATTTCGACTTTTGATTCGATTTTAACTTTGATTTTCGCTTTGAGTTTGATTTTCGATTGGATTTTGACTTTGGTTTTGACTTTCGATTCGAATTTAACCTTGAATTTGAAAACCAAAACCAATGTTAAAGTCAAAGACAAACTATGATTTTGACTTTAACTTCGACTTTTGATGAGACTTTAACTTTGATTTTCACTTTCATTTTGATTTTCTATTCGACTTTGACTTTGACTTTAATTTTCACTTGCTTCATTTTCACTATGAATTTGAATTTGAATGTCAAAGTAGAGGTCAAAGTGAAAATAAAAGTCAATGTGAAAATCATTGTCAAAGTAGAAGTGAAAACCAAAGTCAAAATCAATGTCAAAGTCAGGGTCAAAATTAGAATCAATTTTGACTTTGGTTTTGACTTTCTCTTTCGCTTTGATTTTCGATTGTATTTTGACTTTGACTTTCGATTCGATTTGAACTTTGACTTTCAAAGCCAAAGCCAAAAATAAAGTCAAAGACAATCTATAATTTTGAGTTTGACTTCGACTCTGATTTCAACTTTCGATGAGACTTTAAGTTTGAGTTTTATTTTGACTTTGTTAGCCACAGTCAAAATTAAAGTCAAAGTTAAAGTCAAAGTTAAATTCAAAATCAAAGTCAATGTCAAAGTTAAAGTTAAAATCAAAGTCAAAGTTAGAGTGAAAATGAAAGTCAAAGTCAATAGCGAATCGTAAGTCAAAGTTAAATTACAAAATCGGGTCCTATTTTGTAATTTGACTTTGACTTTAATTTTCATTCTGATTTTAAGTTTGACTTTGATTTTGACTTTTGATTCGATTTTAACTTTGAGTTTAATTTTTAATTAAATTTTTTACTTTTGGTTTTGATTTTCGATTCGAATTTAACTTTAAATTTCAAAAACAAAACCAAAGTTAAAGTCAAAGACAAACTATGATTTTAAGTTTAACTTCGACTTTTGATGAGACTTTAACTTTGATTTTCGATTAGACTTTTACTTTGATTTTGAAAGCCACATTCAAAATCAAAGTCAAAGTAAAAATTAAAGTCAAAATCAAAGTCAATGTCAAAGTTTTAACTTCTCCACTAAATCGGCTTTAGAGTGAATTGAATTACGATTTTCAGGTTCGAATTACAAAAAAAATTCGTTTTAAGATTCACGTGAACCATTTTCATAAATTTTCCCCTAAATCGAAGCTCTAGTGAATTGAATTACGATTTTTCGTTTCGTTTTCTAATAAAATCGGTTTTCCACTAAATCGAAGTTCCAGTGAACCGAATCACAATTTAAGGATTCTGCAATAAAAATTTGAAATAAAAATAAGTAAACGGTTTTATATAAGTGTGTAGATAAATTTTTTGCTAAAAGAAAAGAAGATGTTCGGGGTGTAATAAGAGATAGAGAAAGGAAAGGTGGAAAAAGGGAGGAAGGAAGGGGGCGTGTTACTGTTCGCTAGTCTCGTGGATATTCCTGCTACCCTGGCAATCTTTTCAACATGTTAATTGTATATCTGAGTTGAGGTGATAAACAAGGATCCCGTCGGTAGCATGCTGCTGTGGAGTCTTCATTACTGGCTGTAATATATAACCGCGGCCTCAAGGGCATTCTCAATCCTCTAGAGGAAGTTATGAAGTGAGATGCGCACACACGGTGCTTTGCTTTGCTATAAAGCGATTCGATGATGCGTTCTCATAAATTTGAAAGCACACGAAAACTTGTGCCGTATAATAATTAAGCAGACACACACTCTCTCTTC